ATTATTATTTTCACTATAATCATGATCATGATCATCATTATTATTTATTTACTTAATACTAATGAGAGATGAACTATTTATCCTTTTTATTATGAAATTCAAAATATCTAAAGGATACATGATCATGGGCCAGAATAGTTTCTAGCAGGTATAGTGTTGAATAGTTACCGTCATGGTTACTTTGACAAATTTTCCTTATTATTATTCCTATTATTATCACCTGCCTCATTATTGTTGTTGGGAATTGTTCAGGTTAGATTTCAGACAAATGATACAAGATCGCTAACCCCTTTTCTTGGTGTAGGTGTACTTTTGTAGGGGTCATTTTCTCTGGTAGTTCTAAAAACGCTAGATCACTTGATGAACAATTTTTGTAAAAAAGAAAGAAAGAAAGGATTTTGGGCATCAGAAAATCTCCAAGATGGTGTTAAAATCAATTTTCAACATCGACTATGAAATTCGAAGCTCAAAAAATGGTACAGATATTACGGATCCATGAACATTTATTTTCAAGATGACATGGATGAAATTTTCAGGATGACATGGATGACCCTACAAAACCTTCAAATTGGAAAATTTTCTTTTGAAAAAACGAAGAGAAAAAATGGGGAACTTTTAGAAAAAAAACCTTGGAAATAGAACAATAAAAGTAATTGAACAAAATACATAAAAATGGAAAATATGGAAAAAAGAGAGAGTGGGCCCACGCCGAGCCACAAGCTTGACGCCTGGAGTCAGAAAGAGGCCTTTGAGGCAAGTGTGGCCACAATGGTGTATGGTAGTCCAATGGTGGTCTGTAATACAATTTAAGACTTTTGAAGTCTTTCTAAAGGTCGAAGAGGTGGTCTCAGTTCCTTGTGGTTGCTAGGGATCTGAGGAGCCAAGGGTGCTTACAAGACAATCTGGGCATAAATGGTCTCTATAAGTACGCATTCAATTGACCCAAGTCCTAATGTGCATTAGACTTATTCGCATGAGTGTATTGACCCAATCTGTAGAGGGACCAAAATGAAATTTATGTAAATAAACCTTTTCAGGTAATTACTCCTATATCGTATATTAAGTTTAAGTAATTCTTAAACAATTGGAAAGCTTCTACAATTTTAAAATCAATTTTAAACCGATTTGACTGAATTTTGAGGGGTCTAAAGGGCTTGAGCTTTAGGGTATTAGTTTTCAGGGTTTTGGGTATCGGATTGGTAAGAGGCTCTTGTCGTTCTAATGAAAAATCATAGAAAGGGAAAATTTGAAAATACACTATAAAATATTTTTAGCCCCAATTAATATAGTCCGTCCATTTTGGTTGGATACTTAGATCTTGGCCTTAAAATGATATTTTTTTTCTCTCTTTGCAAATTTTCTTGTGGCTTTATTATAGGAAAGACTTCATAAACCCAAATACTATACATCCAATTGCTCAGATTCATCTTGGTTGATGAGATGCCCACAATTGTGTTCCATCTTTGAATTTTATTGTTTTTATAAATCCAAATTATTTGAATTTTATGGTGTCCACTCTTGAAAAGCAACATGATAAAAAATAAAAAAATATTTTATAAAAAAATAAATTGACCAAAATATCTCTGAAGCATTCAAATGTAATTTGGTTAATTTATTTTTTACTAATTATTTTTTATATTCTATTAGATGCACATTAATTAAAAGAGTAAGAGGTCCAAATTCCAAGTGATATGAATTTATATAGAAAAGATTACAATTCAACTATAAAATGTCATTGTTACGGTCAGACGGGCCTAGTTTGAATTTAGGCCATTGGGCCTATACTCTCTTCAAATGTCTTATTCATTTAAAAGAATGAATGTGCACACCCATCCGAGTATTTCTAACTAAAAACAGTTCAAATGTCCCTTGTCTTTGCTACTCCCATCAAAATCGATCTCCTGAAGTTCAGGTTGTCTTGAAAACAATACATTGCACAGTTGAAACTTGATCTCCTGAAGTTCAGGTTGCCTTGAAAACAATACATTGCGCACTTGAAACTGGCAATCTTGCAGGGTTTGCCTCGAAAACAATACATTGCAAGCTTGAAACTGGCAATCTTGCAGGGCTTGCATGGATCAAACGAGTCTATTGGACAAAGCAAAAGCACAGGTGGGCCGAAAAACTTGTAAAAGTGTTGGTGAAGAGTGACTCAAAAGTATTGTTATGAACAAGATGTCAATTCAAGGGATATTGGGGTGGAAAGTCCCCTGATTTTGGCTACAAAGAAGGACATAGTCGAGGTGGTGAGAGAAATCCTTGAAGTTTTCCCGGAGGCCGTGGAGTTCTTAGATAAAGATGAAAAGAATATATTGCAATTGGCTGCAGAGTACAGAGCAGAGAAGGTATTCCAGATATTGAGATCAATGGGAACACGCACATCAAACATGGTCTTGGGAATTGACAAGCAAGGGAACTCTGTTCTGCATCTTGTAGCAACCTTCAATCTTATCGACCTTCGCATATACGTGCGAGCTCTCAACATATGCAGTGCGAGTTACTGTGGTTCAAGGTAATGTGTGTTACCAAATGACTTATACATTTATAGAGCTGCATTAGCAAATCACTAGAATACCATTACAAAGCTATGAGCTCCCCCACTCACAATACAAACTGGATGAATCTGATGGGACAGAAAAGGAATCTTTTTGTGAAAGTTCTCTATCACCTTTTTATTTATTTATTTCTTATTTTTTTTAAAAAGGAAAATAAAAACCTCGTGGTTTACATGTAAACCATGAGGAGGAAATGAAAGACTCAATTTATTTTCGACACCTATCTCGATCCATTTAGTATGGCTTTCTTCTAAAGAAGGTAAAATATAATAAAATTGAAAAAGTAAAAGGAAATTTAAAGGGGTGAAAAATAAATCTGAATAGACCAGTGAAATAACTTAGTCTTTGTACAGAGTGTGAATCACATGTGCCCACCTTGCATAACCGCTCACAAGAACTCAAAACAGCAAACGGCTTAAGAGTTGTTCGTGGCGATTCGCCAAGGTCTAATGGAAAGAGGTGAGAAATGGCTCAAACAAGGAGCAAAGTCATGTATGATCGTGTCCACGCTCATCGCCACCATTTTGTTCGCCACATGCTACCAAGTGCCAGGAGGCAACCAATCGAACAACACACCTACGGCTACGGATGGCCTACCGAACTTCATCGGCCAGCATGATTTTTAGAATTTCTTGGAGTACTTAGAATGGACCATTTTCTTCACCTCATTATCCTTAGCATTCTTTACCTCAATATTAACCACTCGTTACGAGGAAGAAGACTTCTTTCTTATTCTACCTCTTAAGTACCTTGCTGCCGTTACCTCGCTCTGTCTCTCATCAGCAGCTAGTCTTCTCATCTTCGCTTATTCCTACGTTCTTATCGGCGATGGACTCCTGGGTGGCTCGCATATGGTTGGTAAACTATCCATCTTCTGTTCAGTGACTGCCCAGGTTTGCACCTATATTCATTCCACAATATCCACTATAATGTACTGTGTGCTAATCTTGTTTGAGGAACTAGGTAACAGAAGAGAGTTTAGCAGGTCTTCTGATGATAATGAAAAAGTAGCCTTGAGTTGATTGAGATTTGGTTCTCACTAGTTAGAATTTAACAAGTAAAGATTTGGTTTCATCTTGGACAGGATTCTTATTATATGTGGACCTTCCTTGTTACATTAAAATGTATAATGGCAATGGCTGATTAACAGTAAACTTTGTTATGAGTATATTTCTTGCTGTACTAATGCTTAACTGTTGTTGATGATCGTCCTACATGAAAACAAAAAAAAGAAGAAAAGTTTCAATAAAGGATGATGTTTCTATAAGGCCTAGGTTTTATGAAAATAAAATAAAGCTTCATCTCAAATTTTCGTATGGAAAGTACTTTTTGGCAATAGGAATCTCTATGACGGCGCTAAAATCAAATTTCAACACCGACAATGAAATTTGAAACTCAAAAAATGGTATATATCTTAAGGATCCATGAAAACTTATTTTTCAGGCAAAATAGATGGTCTAGATAATTTGTTAAAATATACACAAGTCAAAATCAGATGGATCGATAGAATGGAGCGATACAAATCACGGCTTGTAGCTAAGGGATATGCTCATTCATATGGAATTTCTTACGAAGAAACCTTTAGTCTGGTAGCAAAGATGACCACAATTTGGACCACTATCGCAATTGCTGTAGTCAAAGGGTGGCCCTTATATCAGCTCGATGTCAAGAATGCATTTCTGCATGGAGACCTTCAAGAGGAAGTATAGGTAAAGCTTTCTAGAGTTTGAAATCCTATTTCTTTTTTCACAGCCATGATTGATGTAAAGGTTTTCTAATGCTTGGATTGTAATTTTTTGATGAGCTATGTGGCGAGGCTTTGCCTATTTTTAATAGGGTTGCAGCCAGTTTCTTTCAATAAATATTAGATACTACTATTTACATAAAATATCTCATAAAACTAGCCATCATTTAAAAATGCTTTTCTTCCAAATTAGTGAATCATTGGCGGGCGGGAACAGTGATTTCCATAAATTTTGAAATAATGCCAATTCCCATTTATGCCGTTTATGATAACTAGAATCCATTATAACAGGTATGCACACTTATTATAACTGCCAACAATGTCAAATTTCGAGCAACAAGTTCCGTACATTTAATCATAGAATGAACAAGGGACTTAACATGAGAGTTGTATTTGACAGTTTGATATTTAGACTTAGGGTGTGGTTTGTTGCAACCTTAAACAATCCAATTAAGGTGCACCTCCAAATTTTATCATAAGATATAATTTTGGTGTAAATTTTTTTTAGAATTGCTTAAAAATCTATTTTCAACTCTAGTTATAAAATTTTAAACTCCAAAAATAGTTCAAATCAAGTAGATATATAAATATATGAAAATTTTGAAAATAGACGATTTAGATAATGTATTGCAACTGCACTATTTCTGAGACTCGAAATCTTGTTTTATTTATATCATACATCTCAATGTTGAGATGATCAATTAAATGGTTTTTCAACATTAAAAACAATATTTTCGAATGGATTTTTGAGGTGCAAGCTTGTATAAACTTTTTCCTTCTAACTTATATAGCAATAATACGCAACATTGTGATATCACGTACAATATATTGGCTTGAGATATATTCTTTATTGACATCAAACACTAACGAATAATCGATCCAATTCTTCAAGAAATTGATTTATGCAAATTCTATTTTCTATAATCACGCCCTAGAATATATTGCCTTTTGAAGAAAACCAAAAATAAAAAGAAAGTTAAAAAAAGCAAAGTACCCTTAAGGAAAGAAAAAACATTTATGTTTATAATAACATAAAAGAAAAAATAGTAAATTCATTATTGACTAAAAAGAATACAAAAGTTGGAACCACTTACAAAAAGATTCACCATAAAATTCGAATACATATCTAAAAAAAGTTCTATTTTAAGCATTGCAAAGCTTCGTCTTACATGCGGGAATAAGAAAAGAAAATTATTGATAATAATATGAAAGAACAAATAGTAAACTAATCATTGACTAAAAAGGAAAAAGTTGGAATTACATACACTAAAATTCAAAAAATTCACCATAAAATTTGAACACACATATTTATAAGATCTATCTATCAGCTCAGTAGGTATATCAACATGCTTTATATCATCAACTAGACGAGCTCAAGAAATAATATCTTACTTAAGTTCAGAACAACAAATACCTGCAAGGAGTATAATTAACTTTGAAGCTCAAAAAATATTTCAAGAATCCCAAATCTTTCATCTCAGAAGTTGAAGATGACTGGTGGCCATATCATCACCAAAGATAATCATATCATCAACATAGGGATGGAGAATTGCACGTCCTCCTGGTGTGACTGAGACACACATGGCAGGGTCATGGCGACTTTGTCCAAACCATGCAGAGACAACATTAGAGCTAAAATTTTAAACCACCTATTGAATGCACACTGCAGTGGACAGACTCTATTATCAAGATAAAAAACGCTAGGAGGTAACTTCATACAAACTTCTTCTACAAGATTGGTAACAAGAAATGCCCACCTTAGAAGCTTTCATAGTAGTACCATCAGTAGTATAAAGAGTATTAAAACATGGTTTATAGTCAACGAGAACAGACTTATTGGCTGTCACATGGAAAGAAGCACCAGGAAGTTGAATCTATCACCCAAGAAGTGAAGTTGAATCTATTAACCAAGAAGTTGAAACAATATTACCTAAAGAAATAGATATAGATTTGTTGGACTTATCTGAAGAAACATGTGTAAATTTATTGGACCATTGGGATTGTAATAGCAACCACTGAAATTGTTCAATTGTAAGAATGATTGATGAGAAAATTTCAATTGTAAGAATGATTGATGAGAAAGCAACACCAACATCGTGTGGTGTTATATCATTTCCTTGAGAAGGTTGTTTACTTGAAGACACATATATAGATTTGTTGCACAATTCGGATCGTGAGAGCAACGAATGAAGTTGTTCCATTGTAAGAGTGATTGACGAGGAAGCGAACACCAACATCATGCACTGGCTGGCATTTTAGAAAGAGATTGACAATGTTTTCTCGGTACGGGCTGGTTGGCTGGCATTCTAGAGAGAGAGAGAGAAAGGCAACATCAGAAGGCACATGACCTGGTTGGTTTGGCGATCCCATAACGGATCCGATCCGAGCTGAGCAGTTCGAGTGGTTTAAAAAACGGATCGGCGACCCGGATCGAGCATCCCAAAAACCTATCCGGATCGACGAATCGGAGATCCGGATCGGGAATCAGGCCGAATCGTTCGGATTAAGTTTTAAAACAATCCAAAAACATTATTAAAATTCATTATAAATGTTGTTTTTTAAGAATCCAATAAGAAATGAGAGTACTACATTATTAACTTTCATTGTTTCATCAATTTATGAATATTGAGATGTTCTTTCTTTATATGAAATTATGTTGACCATTAAATTTACATCACACAAAGAAATCATAGAATTATCATGGATTAAGTATATAATCATATATGGACTACAATAAAGAGTTGAATAAATCGATGAAAAATTGGCCACTAAAATCTCGAATTGGCGGAAAACCCTAATCCGCTAAAAAAACCCAAA